ATCTCCAGGATGACAAGTCTTCCTGTCACTCTCCTGCCCTGGGCATGAGGCAGTCTGTAGGGCCTTTTACCATAGACCAGAACTGAATGCCCACCATAATTTAAGTTTAGTGACCTCCTCTTCATAGGGAATGCATATGGGCCCTGTGGGGTGAGTTGTGACCACTGGGTGTTTCTAGGTTCCACAGCAGAAGATCATGGCACCAATTCATGCTCATCCTGCTGGAATGAGGATCAACGTCATCAATAACCACCAGGCCAAACAGGTGGAGTGTGTGTGTGTGTGTGTGTGTACACTTAATGTGTTTTGATGTGGCCTAAAAGGTGAATTAATAAGCCTGGCCCAAGGAGGGATTACAACTGACTTTTTGCAGTTTATGAGTTTTAAGAAGAAACTTCTTGACTGTATAGGGGCAGAGAGGCAAACTGAAAATCTTTTCTTCCCCCCAAGTGAAAGTAGTATGTGCTTATTTAATACAGAAAATTTTCAAAACAGAGAAAGATTAAGAAGGCAGGAAAAAAGGTCCTCATGCTCTGGCTGTCCACAGCCAACCCCCATTGAAATTCTGCCCTGATTCCTTCCTGTATTTTGGGGGATTTGTGTGTGTGTGAGTGTGTGTGAGAGAGACATTTATTTAATGCATAGTTGTGGTTGTGATTATGTTATTATCTAGTTTTGTTCTGTTTTCACTTAGTAAACTCAAGCATTTTTCTGTGATTCACATTCATCATAAACATTTTTAATAACTGCATAATTCATTGAGTTGATGTTCTAGTTTATTTCAACCATTTTCCTGTAATTTTCACTGTTAGCAATCCTTCTGTGAACATCTTTGTAGATAAAGCTCTTTCTAGGGTTTGGGTATATTTCTATAGGCCAGATTGCCTGCAACAGACTTTGTGAGCCAAAGGATATAAACAGACATTTTAGGGACCCTTGATAGGTATTGTCGACTTGTAGAAGAGTGCTTCTGAAGTACCTGGAGTTGTAGCACTTTCATTGGGTCCTTGTGGGCAGGGTGGCAGTCTTCCAGACCAGTCTCCCTAAACACTCCCCCTGCACCCACTTCTCCCTCTTCCTCACTACTCCAGCCCTCACCTCCTCTCCTTGCTGCAAATGTCTGTTGAGAGCTTACATGCCACGTTAGTTTGTATTTCTTTTGTTTTTCTTTTTTCCAGAATTTATACGACCTAGATGAAGATGATGATGTTGTAGCTCCTATTCCTAGTAAACAGATGAAATTTGCAGCCTCGGGCAGCTTCCTCCACCATGTGGTATGACATTTTATGTTTTTCCTACATTCTGTGGGTGTCTGATCAGGTGCAGGGGAGAGGTAGTGGAGAGTCAGGCCTTTCAGTTCAGAAATATTTCATTTGGGTCATAAGATTATCAGAACCAGAACTAGTCTAACCCCTGGTTTTTATAAATGCTGAGACCATGGTGTCCACTGGTCGTGAAGTGCAGGGCTACAGCTGCCAGTTGCTGTGTTTGAGACACTTCAGAGAAAATGTGAGTGATCCCAGAGGATGGAATCACATTTTATTTCCTTTATGGCAGGACATTCTGCCGGTTCCCCTTCCTTCCATGGCCAGCAGTTCTGGCCCTTTCTGAAGTCTGGGCCTTCTTAAGAGTGGATTCCCTACTTGGTGTGTTAGCAAGAATATACTGAACCCTACCTGAAGGCTTCAGGTACAGCCTGCATGTGGGCTTGATGGACTAGGATGCTGAGATACCACACAGAGAAGGAAAGAGAATGATATCTGGGAACCTCAGGGAGGTCTGCCCTGCTTCGCTCAGTGGATATGGCCAAATTAAACATAGGGAAGTGAGTGGGCGCCCAAGCTAAATGCTTTTGTTTGGCTTTCAGAGGCCCAAAGACTCAGTTTTGGTCATGGCACTGAATGTGTGGACCAATTTCCTGGTTACCACTGAAGCTCTTAAAGTCCAATGGTAACCAGTAGTAATGTGTGAAACTGAATGATGCCAGTTTGTTACAAAGGGGCTTGGCCTTTTCAATAATTAGAGTGCTTGGGTCTGCTACCAAGGGGGCTGTCAGCTCGCTCAGTTAGTGGCTAACCCTATTTGGAAAAAACCCAGTGTTTATATGAACTCATTTAAGGCTTCCCTTCCTTCCTACCCTGTGAGAAGGGGTACTCTTATTACCCCTATTTTACAGATGAGGAATTAGGCACGGAGAGGTTAAATAAATCTGCTCAGCTTGTAAGTAGTGGATCTAGGATTTAGGCCTAAGCAGTCTAGCTCCCAGGCTAACTATTTAACCACTGCAGTATACTGGCTCTTGAGACTCAGAAAACAGCTTCAGAAATGTGGGATCCAGCATGAATCTAGATTCATCTAGATTCGGATAATCTGGTAAATTGACCCTATCCCATAATCTGCCTGTCTGGCTGCTGAATTCCTCCTTTCTCCCTGAGTCAGTGTGTGGTAGACACTGTCCTAAATTAGCAAGACCATCTGCCACTTCTGCCTCGTGCATCTTTTTCCTCAGACACATTAAAATCAGAGAGTTCGCTGCTTTTTATTTCCAAGGGGCCACATCCCCAGTTAGAAAGCAGGAGAGGGAGGTAACTGCTTCTACTTAATCTGCACATGCTGACTCTGCCAGCATGTCCCTGACAGTATGGGAGCTGAGGAGACAGGACTACACGTGGTACCTCTGTAAGGCCACCTCTATAGGGATCAAAAAGCCAGGAGTCTGCACCTTTTTAAGAGAGTTCCTATTCCCAGCCAGCCTAGAGCTGACGATCTGCCCATTGTGGTAGAAGCATATCTGGGAATGAACTTGACCCTAAGCTTTTGGCCTCTGACTGGCCCCCAGTTTTTTGTTTTAATAAAGTCTAAATGGTGTGGTGAGCTTGTGACTCCTATTCAGAACTAGGTGGAAGATTTTTGCCAAGGGTTTCCAACACTGGGAATTCTATGAGCACATGTGCAGGCTGTTTTTTTTCCTCTCTTCCTGCCTCTTCCCTGGCAGCTGGCACCTTCCTGGCTTTAGATCCTGATGGAATTAGGGAGGTGGGAGGCCTTGGGGTTGGGGTTGTCAGCCCCCCAAGGCATCCAGGTCTCTAGCTTCTCAGATTCTTGTCTGCCTCTTTATTTAGGCTGGGCTGAGCGGTTCCAAGCTTTCTGTATCCAAGGCCCTTCCTCTCACCAAAGTGGTTCAGAATGATGCATACACAGCTCCTGCTCTCCCCTCCTCTGTTCGAACAAAAGCCTTGACCAACATGTCCCGGACACTAGTGAACAAGGAGGAGCCCCCCAAAGAGCTGCCGCCTGCTGAGGTGAGGTGAAGGTGAAGGAGAGAAAGGGACTGCACCAGCTGAGAGTTAGCCTGTGCTGGGTGGGAAGTGTGCCTTGTGTACCCTATTGGTCCTCATAGTGCCTCTCTGAGGTCGGTGTTGCCACCTCCATTTTACAAATGAGTAAACCAAGGCCCAGTGGCTCCTGCTTTCAGGGAGCTCACAGGCAGAAAGGGAAAACAGAGCTGCAGACAGAGCACTGTGCCTTGTGATAAAGCAGAGGGATGCCCAGAAGAGGACTGCCCAGTGTGCTGAGGAATGAGTGTTTGATTCCACTAGACAGATCTGGGAAGGCTTTAAGGAGAATGAGCCATCTGAGCTGGGTGGGTCTTGAAACATGAGTGGCATTCCAGGCAGAGGCTCAGGTCTC